TCTATCTAAAAGACTCTCAAGTTACATATTTCTTAACTATAGGGAGAAAAGAAAGGTGTTTGGTGCCTGGGAGATGTGAAGGAAAAGCAAAGGTAAGAGTAAGGGCAAGAGTAATTATAATTTCTAGGCAGGGAACCAGAAAATGTCCAAATTAAGGTCCATTGGAATTTCTTGATGAGGGCTCCCAAAATCATCCATCTAACAGGTTTTTGTTGTTTTTAATTTTAACTTTTATTTTTATTTTGCCTGCCAAGGCTGGAATGATCAATGAACTCAGGATTTGTTGTCAGGCACTTTGATAACGGTTGGAGTGGCTTAAATGGCCGTCATTTTAGAGTAGTGAGTTGTTTCCCTCAGCTGCAGGTGGGCACTACAGTATTGTAGGCCAAGATTTAAAGTCCTACACCTGAATAGCACTGTCCTGTTAGGAACAAAATCATCAATGAGAAATAATTGTCTAAATAACATAAGAACTTAAGTCTAATGTCTGGGATGTGTAATCCTTTGAGTTCTTAAAGAAATATATCAATGACTTTAATCTTTGGTTATACTTTCCCCTTGGGTGTTTAAGGCCATACAGTTGTCCCAAATAAACCAATATATTATTACTTTTAAGGTCATATGAGTATCTGTTTCTCAGGGGTCATATGGGCTTGGGAGGAGCCATGGTTCCTTTCTTTTACCAGTTCAATCTTTGTGAAGATAATTCAAAGGTCCTGCTCGACCATGGCTGGTTTCCCTTCGAAGCACGATGGAAATGTTTCCTCTGAGTTGACCCTCCTCTTTGTAGATGGGTCACTGGTTCAAGTCCATCTGGTGGGGTCTCCATGGCCTCCTTGCACAAGAGGACAGGTGACTCACCATAGTTACGGGACATTTTGAGAGATGCTCATAGTCCTCTGGAACTTAGTCAACCTAGGAGGGTAAGGAGCAAAAACTGTCCTTTATGTCCCCCTGACCAAATTAGTGTAGGCCTCAAAGTATGGCTGTTAAACATCCAAGAAGGTTAGCTCCACCACTCTGGTACTTTTAATTATCATATGCCATGTAGATAGAGCTTGGGCAAAGACCAAACACTCTCAGATAAACCTTGCCTAAGCATATATTTCATTCTTTGATCTGGTTGAATGTATAATTTATCAGTAGGTTGTTGGCCTAAAATGGTTCCCTCTCGTTTTCTAAAACTAGCTAGGCATTGTTTATCTCTCTCATATTGTTTAACCCTTTCACCATGGTTTTCCCATTTAAGGTGCCCCTATTTTTTCCATTTCTCCCTTAAGAATACCCTTCTCCTATGGTCCCATCTCTCTTGAGCTCCTTCTTTTTCTTTATCTCCTAGGTTCCTTGTATAACTT